GGATATGAAACCTATAATTTTTTACAAAATAAAAAACTACTTGTTTGCCATAATTAAGCAGTTAATAATCTTGATATCCACAAATAATCTATTTGTATATTCCATTACCTTCTCATTACCCACCATTTTATATTCCTCCTTCAAAATGCACCCGCAAATATTTACTCACATGAAGGGAAACTACTGTGTTCTCCCGTTTGTATTGATATAAAATATAGAAAGCAAAATGAGAGCATATAAAAATAATCTTGTATTAACAAACCTGCAAGCTATGCGTTTTTCCAGCCGCTGATTTTTAAAATCCATAAGCAGGTCTATAGTAAAAAGAAATGTATAGATCTACGCCCAGTATTTAATAACATTGGCCCAATAGTACCTAGGTTTTCTGCTTCATGGACTTTTTTCTATTTTTTTAGCCTTTAAAGCCTACGATAAAATAAATATAGTTTAAAATGCAATAAAAAATGCATAACGGTCTACATAAATTAATGTATTCTTTATACATACAGATAACATGGGACGCAATTGAAATTGAATATCTCGATAATCATTAGATGTTGGATCAAAATTTACTGTACCTTTTAAAATTTGATAAAAAATAGATAACTATTTTATATATATATTTTGATTAAACTTTTAGAACCTTCATTAAAATAATGCCATTTAAAAAATTTCATAATACATGTCTAAAAATTAATTTATTTCCTACACAGATTAAATTAACATGGAAGCAGTGCATTTAAATAACTCAATAATCTAGAAATGTTGGATAAAAATGTAACATATTAAACTGTGTTTGTTTTGAGGCTGATTTAAATGATTTTAGTAAAGTGTTGTACAGTATCACTAATATGATTTCTTCTAGCTGTTTTGTTTACAATCTTACAAAAGTTGTAAAATGAGGCAGACAAAGTATGAAATAAAGCTTACTATCCTATATATACTTACTAGCCTATATATACTTACTAGCCTATATACTTTGCCCAGTCATTTTTTAGAATGTATGATGGCTCTCCAAGTAAAGTCCAACAAATGATGAAATTTGTAATTGTAGGACGTTTTAGACTTTTGAATCCTTGTTTTCTATTAAATAATCTAATATAAACGAACCTAACCTAAACTAATCGAACTACAAAAAATATTTCAATATTTGAAATTAAATAGTTTCTGTGGACCTCTTTCTCTTTTCGTAATACTTTTTTCTGGCACCATGTATAGAATTGGTAGCTATTATACACCATGCCCGGTCATAGTGTATAAATCCCTATTATTATTACTGCATTTCATACTTTACCAAAACATATACATCATTATACGAAGCCTATTATTGCCACAGGAACACTTATAGTGCTGATTGTGTCATATTGTATTCCGTGCTATCGTAACTAATAAAAAGGATATTTGGATGATGTACGGTAATTAATGTTTGTTTATGAAAAAATCTTCATAAAATTCTTTATTTTATGGAAGGTTTTATGATGAACCTGGTCAGTTTAAAGTTCAATAAAGAAAACAGTAAATTCGTTTAGTTTGAATGTTTGTTTCAACAATGTCATGTGTTCTATCTGTGCATTTGATCAATTTTTTTTATGGAACATAAGTATCCTAAGACTATGTTGAAACCTACATGGGGTGCAAACACAGGGTGCGGCAAAAAAACCGTTCTATTTTCTGTAGCGCACTGTTCAGCGACAGGTCGTCTGAGGGTGGTGGTGATGGGCTTGTGGGAAAGCCTACACGTTGCCATTATCTGTAGTCAGAGATCAGTGGTCCTCTGAGCAACAGGCGTTTTTTATAAAGTACAAGGTTATTCTAAATGATGGACCCATTTTTAATACCTACTTTATAATTTTTATACTATTAAACTTACCGCTATAAAATACACATCAAACGAAAAAGCAACTCAAAGAGTTTATGCCTTCCAAAGACACATCATTTAACAAAATCGATCCAACAGAACTGTAGATTTAATTGTACAAAGTTAAAAAGTAATCTCCAACTTTTTTTACCACTAGAAATTTGGAGGTTACTTGACGTTTTTGCAAATAACTTTTAAATGGTGAGGAAATTGACCAAAGTGGAAGGTAATATTCCGAAAGAGAATAAAATTTCCTACAATCCACTATTATGCATATCTTGAAAATATTTAATAAATGTAGCCTAAATTTGGCTTAAAATAAAAAAGTGTGAAATTTAATGTTTGCTATGTTTATTGTCTACATTGAAGACGGGAATTTTCAATTTTTTTTTTTTCATTTTGAGGCAATTTTTGGTACCTTTCTTGAGTACAATAGACCCCCTCTTAACCGACCCTAATGGGACCGGACCTAGGTCGGATGACTCAATAGGTCGGTTAAAACGGGCAATCCCTAAAATCATAATATAATGAAGTGCTATTCATTTGGAATTATATAATCATTATTTTGAAGCCATACATGCATTATTTATAAAATAAACTACTCTTATCTCCTTTTTCGTATTGACAGAAAAGTCACAAATAAACACAAAACACGGTTAAGTCAAATAGGCCTACTTTCAGTGGAATATATTATAATAGTAGGCAAGAGTCAATAAAAATTAATCAATAAAAATATTTCAATACCGTAACTTTAGTACTGTAATGTATTAATTGATACAGTAAAGAACCTTTTGTCGAAATTAAAGATGCAAGCAACCATTTTGTTACAAGACAGGATGTTTATAACCTCTCAATGGAGGCTCCAGGCACAAAAACTATCTTGACCTTGGAGTTGTAAACCCCCTTTCCCTGCCCTCCCTACAAGTTGTGTTGTTTCTGTTTGTTTATTCCAGTGATAAGATAATCAGGTAACGCACACTTTATGATGTTATAAATTTGCCGTACAGATAACAAATCAGATCAGATGTGCTCGCATTACGAATGATGATGACAAATTGACAATAGGCTATGCTATAATTTTTGCGATCAATACAAAATAATTTATTCTTAGTCATATCCTGTGGAGATAAGCGTATGGTTAAGTTCTCATCGCCCAGCGTGGGAGCGGAAATGCCGAGATTCCTAGAAAGCGGCGGTTAAACCGAGCTGCTCTCAAAGCAAGGTCGGTTAAAACAAACTGTATTATTTTACGATCGAAGGTGGATAATCCGATTATCGGTTAATACGAGGTCGGTTAAGAGGGGGTCTACTGTATTTTCAAAAAATGCCTAATACTAAGTTGTAGGAAATTTTATTCTCTTTCGGAATAATACCTTCCACTTTGGTCAATTTCCTCACCATTTAAAAGTTATTTGCAAAAACGTCAAGTAACCTCCAAATTTCTAGTGGTAAAAAAAGTTGGAGATTACTTTTTAACTTTGTACAATTAAATCTACAGTTCTGTTGGATCGATTTTGTTAAATGATGTGTCTTTGGAAGGCATAAACTCTTTGAGTTGCTTTTTCGTTTGATGTGTATTTTATAGCGGTAAGTTTAATAGTATAAAAATTATAAAGTAGGTATTAAAAATGGGTCCATCATTTAGAATAACCTTGTACTTTATAAAAAACGCCTGTTGCTCAGAGGACCACTGATCTCTGACTACAGATAATGGCAACGTGTAGGGTTTCCAACCAAGTTTAATAGTTTAAAAGTTATAAAGCGTTAAAACTGGGTCGTTCATTTTGAATAACCCTGTAGTTTAAAAAATGTAATGTTTCAGTCATTGCATCTTAGCGGCATCTCCATGCATTCTTTAAATTAGGTTGAGATGGAGAGGTTCCACCGCGATTATCTGTATGGGTAATCAACAAAACAAAGATTAATAAAAATTAATCTGTAGGGATAAGAATTAAGATCGAAATTAGTGTAACCGAGCAGTCAGACATGTTCAAAGCAAATGCTTGTTTTCGGGCGGGCCTGTTTTCCACAGCAACTTGAACTCTATTGAATGTTAGTTGTCTGGCGTCCGATCTGCTTTGGACAGGCTTGTCATCTCTTTTTTCAAGGCAGAACCCGTTGTTCTAATGTTAGTAACCCAACACGTGATTGTGCTACTTCACTGAATCCACGTCACCCTCATTAGAAGAATGCACGGAACTGCCAATGAGTTGCAATGAATGAATTATTATTTTTTTAATTTGGTTTGATAACAAACGCACGTTGCTCAGGTGACCACTGCTCTATGACCACAGATAATGGCATCGTGTAGGGTTTCCAACCCCACCACTCTCAGACGACCTGTCGCTGAACAGTGCACTACATAAAATAGATGGGTTTTTCGTCGCATCCGGTAGAATTAGATAGTTTGTTTTTTTCAGTTTCATGATTAAAGGTTCTTTCAAGTAGCCATGAAGGTCGTTATAGTAGGCTACCCATCACTGTCACTAATTATTCAAACTTTTAAAAAAGCCATTTTGTTTTCCGATAAATAAGGACTTCTCTAGAAGTAAACTTAAGGTATTCCTGCTAACAACATTATAATCACTTAATAATCAGTGATAATATTTTATTTTTCTAGTTTTACAGATCTATTTGCCTTATAAATACTTAAATCTGACAATCTCTGTCAGAACAAATGTCTATAAGAATTAAAAGAAAGTTATTTAAAGTCTACCAACAATGTTCACATATTTCTCCCGATGTTTTGGATGTTTCAAGTTTGATTGTGTGATTGATTATACGATTGCAACATCTGTCGCATGTTGCTGTGTTCCATTTGTTTCTTGTCTCTTTTTTTCAAATATAAATAAATATTGAAGTTTAACATCTTTCTACACCAAAGTAAAATAACAATACAGCCGGACCCCGATTATTACTACGATTTGTTTGAAACAATTCAGCTCACAATTTCAGAGACACGCCAATACTATATCTACGATAAAATACATAATACATGAAAACTACATGGATTGTACACTTGGGTGTACCCTGTACAAATGACGAAAGTACACTGAAATATTTGTAATCTTTCCGGCCTGTAATGTCCTCCTTCTTCCTCTATCTCTCTGTCTATCTATCTGTCTTCTCTCTCTCTCTTTAGATGCCTGCCCCGTACCCACACAAGTAGAAGGCCGGCAGGTAAGCTAAGCACACGAACATACACCTAAGGTCAGGTACAGGTAGGCCTAACTCACAAACACACACGCTCACACGGCATGTGCGATGTGCGTAGCTTCACTTGGATGCCATACGTAGCTTCACCTTTCCATTACGTTTGTGTCGCTGTCGTCATGCTCTTATAATCTTACATTTGCTTGTTTTCCGATAAAGTATCTTTTAAATGTTTGTATTGCTTGCAATATAGAACCTGTACTAATAATTTCACAGTACAAGCATCACATACTACCATAGTTTAGGCTAGTAGCATATTTTTAGACCCAGTTCTTATAGAGTAATGCTTCTTCCTTTCGGAAATGTTATATTTAGTGTAACTAGGTTTAATGCTTTCAAATGTATAATTAATTGATAATAATCCAAATAATTTTAAATTCTAATATCAAAAACACATTGGTAGATTACCAGTACCTCAGCATTGGAGTTTTGAAGTTTGTGGAAGAAGCATGATAAAATAGAATAACCTTTTTTCATAAATACTTACTAATGTTTGTCCAGGAGAAGGTAGGTTTAAATTTATTGTAGAATGATTATCACTTGACTTTTGTCAAAACCTCAATTGTTTCTACAACATGTCATGTAGATCAATTTTTAATATATTACTTATCCTCTGCTTTGGAATATTAATTTTAGTGTTGGATTTGTTTACCGTTTATAACATTTGTTTTGCTTTTAGTTTTTTTTTTGTTTTTTTTTCGGTCAAGGAATGAAATTAAATTAATTTGATATTGTTACTGGTCTTACAGAGTATACGCTATTCCTACATTGTATTAAGAACTAAAATCCTTACAGAAAAATCATACAATCGAAAAATAAAATAACATATAAAAGTACCTAAAAAGAATTAATTTACACTTAATTCTGATAAAGATTTCTCAATTGATTAAAATATAAGCTTTCCCAGCTAGATATTAGTTTTTGTTTTTAGACATATTAGTTTTTGTTTTTTGTTTTCAGACATAAAATAATTTAACCAAACAGGGACAATCAGAATATACCATAGTTGGTCAAATGTGTTACTTTATTTAGGCCAATTTGATCTCGGAATAAGTAAAATAATAAACATTAATTCAAAACCAGGCCATTCAATATGGTTAGTTATTCTCTGGATTAAAAAACAACAGCTTAGAACTTTCAAAAATATAAAACTGTTATCAATTAGATGTTAGACTGCAAACTTGAATTTGGAGCATTTTTATTCAACTGCATTTGCTGTCAAAGCATTAACATACAAGCAGATATTTTTATTTAGTTGATGTTATCGGTTTTTCAAATATTTTAGAATTTGAATACATTAGTGATATTGTAAAGTTAATTCATAAATCAGCATATTTCGTCTTATCTTGGGAAGGGAATTAAAAGTCTCATTGCGGTTCATTATTCTATCTTAAAACAGCTTTAAAAAGTAAGAATAAGAATAAGAATAATGTTTATTTTCCCAAATAGTTACAAATATATACAACAAAACAAAATGACAGTTTTTATAAATTCACAAAGTAATTTCATAAAATATTTCAAAGTCGTTATTGTAATATTCTAATTATAAGTAAAAAAAATATATATACTTCTAAAAACTAACTACACTAAAGTAAGTATTTTCTACTCGTGTCGTTAAGACTCACTTAACACAATCGTTGCGTAAACTACTATTACGCAACGATCACATAAAGATAGTGTTAATGACAAGTGTAGAAAATTTAAGGTAATAGCCTTAAATTTTAAGGTATTTACAGGAGTTGCGTACTCTACTTTACCTACGACCGGTTTTTAATTACTTTTAATCACAACTAGCCCAAGAGCCCATGACTGCCAGACCTTCCTCATTTAATAAAAGCTGAAAGTTTCTCAGCAAATGCCCCCAATTCAGTTAAGAATGATCGGCGACTATGACATTTGGATCTTGGTTACTTTGGCAACAAAAAGGTAACAAAGGTCTAAAATTTACAAACAATCTTCGTTATAGTATAAAGCTTGGTTCTTTCATATTTTCTTCTGAATAATGTTAGAAATCATTTCCTCCATTGCCAGACACTTTGTGTGGTTTAAACCAAGGCCGCCTATAACTCCAGGCCGCGGCATTCGAAGTGGCAACGTTGCAAGTGGTGTTGTAACAGCTGTTAGTTTGGCAGCAGCTAATGGTATTTGTGTATTTACGAACGCTTGGTTACTGGACTATGACAATATTGACTCCACTTTAAAAGTACAAAAATTGATTTTCTATTTAAATATTGTTTTTGTTTTCAATTCTACATGTTTTATTTTCAATCTTTCAATAAATTTATATTCATAAATTTTAATTTTAATGAATAAAACGTGAAATAATGAGCTGGTGTCACCTGCCTGCCATGTTATCTTATGGGACGTCTGGCGCTAGACAACACCACTTGCGACGTTGCCAATTCTACCAGGCCGCGGCCTGTACTTAGGGGTGGCCGTGTTTAAACCCTCTGCCAGACACCCTTAAAACTTAGGTATGACGAAAATTTATTTTTGTCATTTTATAACAGCTGAAATTGATATATGTTACTTGGGGAGCTATCAAAAGACGTTTTCTCAAAAGCCGGACACTTTGGTTGGTTATTTTATCTTGCCAGACACCTTAAAGTCTGCCGTGATAAGCTTAACTGTTACCTGCAAACAGTAGATTCAGTTCCAGTTTGAAACAGGTTTCTTTGCCAAATTTAAATGGTGAAATTACTACTTTCTTCTTCACAATCTGTTTTTATAATAAACCATATGTTTGATGTAAACATATGTTATATTTGAATTTAATTGTTTGTTTATTCTTGCAGTGTTTTGAAGTCACTGTTTGTAACTACTGTACCTATTATACAGGGTGATTGATATAAGTGTGCCAGCCGTTTTATTTAAAAACTATAAGAGATATCAAAAAAAGTTAAATGGTAAGTGCGTTAGATTTTTTTTTTTAAATTGTAGTCAAGTCAAAAAAAATATTTTAGCCGCCATTTTTCCAATATGGCCCCCAACTTTGATTTTTCTTATGGAACATCCTTTATTTTATGATGTGTTCTGGTAGAAAATGTAATTTTAAGAAGATTTTATTCTTGTGATTTTTTCATAAACCTAACCGTTTCAAAGATAATAATGGTTTAAGTTGTGAAAATAAATCTTCGTCATACCTAAGTTTTAAGGGTGTCTGGCAGAGGGTTTAAACACGGCCACCTCTAAGTACAGGCCGCGGCCTGGTAGAATTGGCATCGTCGCAAGTGGTGTTGTCTAGCGCCAGACGTCCCATAAGATAACATGGCAGACAGGTAACACCAGCTCATTATTTCACGTTTTATTCATTTAAATTAAAATTTATGGACATAAATTTATTGAAAGATTGAAAATAAAACATGTAGAATTGGAAACAAAAACAATATTTAAATAGAAAATCAATTTTTGTACTTTTAAAGTGGAGTTAATATTGTCATAGTCCAGTAACCAAGCGTTCGTAAATACACAAATACCATTAGCTGCTGCCAAACTAACAGCTGTTACAACACCACTTGCAACATTGCCACTTTAAATGCCGCTAAAGTTAAAGGCGGCCGTGGTTTAAACCACACAAAGTGTCTAGCAATGGAGGAAATGATTTCTAACATTCTTCAGAAGAAAATATGAAAGAACCAAGCTTTTTACTATAACGAAGATTATTTGTAAATTTCAGACCTTTGTTACATTTTTCTTGCCAAAGTAAACAAGATCCAAATTTCATAGTTGCCGATCATTCTTAACTGAATTGGGGGCATTTGCTGAGAAACTTTCAGCTTTTATAAAATAACAAAGGTCTGGCAGTCATGGGCTCTTGCTCTATACTCAAAACTTCTGAGAGAGGTTATTTTTTTTTTATAACCTCTCATTGCCTCTGACATTGATGCAACGACTCATTGTACCAATCATTAAATGCACCAATCGTTAACAATGAAATTGGTAATCATCTGATTAGTTGAAGTTCGAAGCTTTTCAATTTTTCTTCTTCTCCCTCGATCCTTAAACCTCATTGGTCCGTTACCCGTGTTGTTAAGTAAAACAATGCTGATATGTAAGTAAACAATGCTGTTATGTGAAACTTTTCAATTCTTAGAACTGAACTGAAACGGATTCTTTAAAAAACAGTCGTAAGTACAAATCTTTTAAATGAGTGGTTTTGGGCTACCTGCTCTGGGAACCAAGTGGATTATCTCTTTGTTGACTCAACAAACTGCTTGTCAATTACCGACAACACTGTTTTGACCAGTGAACGAGTGACTTGAAATAACTTTACGCTAGCTAACACAACACATCTCTTATTTTGCTGCATATACAGGGTGGAAAAAAGTCCCAGGACGGTTAAATATTTCAAAAAGTAATAAAGATAGAGCTTCAAAACTTGGTAAACAGTTACTGGGCATTAAAATAATTTTAACACACTATTCAGTGATGTGATACCTCTTTAGTGGGACGGCCCGCGAGGAGTCCGAAGAAAATCTTAAATATTAGCATAGGTTTTTATGCGCTTAGAGGTATTGGTTAGTAAAATCCAATGCCGCAAACCTGGAATAAACCGACAACCAAGTCAGAAATGAAAGCTATTCAAAGATGCATTAAATTTGCAATGCACAGTACGCTACCTCACCTCTTCAAGACTGCTAGAAGTCAGAAGAAAATCTAAAATCATAAACATATGCAACTTTGCAAAGGTAGATATGCACATCAAATTAAAGAGCTTTACTAGTAGAATACAATGGCGCAAATTTCAACTCAAACGTACAACTGAGTAAAAAATGGCAGCCGTTCAAAGATTCAAAATGGCGAATTCAAGACATTTTTGAACGGCTGCCATTTTTGACTCAGTTGTACGTTTGAGTTGAAATTTGCGCCATTGTATTCTACTAGTAAAGCTCTTTAATTTGATGTGCATATCAACCTATGCTTTTATTTAAGATTTTCTTCGGACTCCTAGAGGGCCGTCCCCCTGA